GAACTCAATAGAGTACAGCGCAAGCTTAAGATCCCAATTGAGGGTAACAATACATCTGCTTCGCAACAATGTGAAGAAAACAGAGTAATGAGCCCTGACCCCACAGCGACCGATGAATCAATCGATGTAGCAAGAAAGTGCCGAGTAATTAAGGCACCCACCATATCATTACCAAAATTCCATGGAAATCAGGAAGAATTCTCTGAGTTCTGGGCGATTTTCGAAACACTTGTGCACAATAGCACTGAGATCAGCCAAATAGAAAAGATTGTCCTTCTTAAGGAGAGTCTCAAGGGACCGGCTGAGAAAGTCATAAGAGGCATACAACCGGTACCCAAAAATTACCCGTGGATGGTAGAAACCATCACAAAAAGATACGGCAACAAGCCAGCCAATAAATCCAGAATAGTTCAGAAACTTTTTGAACTAAAACCAGCATCTAAGAAGGCGGACAGCTGCCAAGAATGCTATGACTCGGTCAAAACTCTCGTTAACCAAATGGTTTCCGCGGGGTACGACATCAGAAATACCTGCGACCCGATGTGGTCCGAGACTATATTTGAAAAAATTTCCATACGAGATCGTCAAAACAATTCTTGTAAAACATCAAGAAACTGACACTATGGAAATCGATAGTCTTCTAGAGGCCTTGGACAGAGAAATTACTGCCAAGGCATACGTTGAATCACGCCTTGGTGAGACTCACCCAGCCAGGGAGAGTAACCTTGGCATGCAACGTCCCGTCCACCAAACAAAATGCATATTTTGTAATAGGACTAACCATACCGCTCTTTACTGTAGATCGGTGACCGACCGCCAAAGGCGTCGGGAAATTCTGAAAGAAAATAAATGCTGCTGGAAATGTTTCATGAACAACCACTCCAGCAGCAATTGCAGTAAACCAAATTGCAATAGTTGTGGGGGCACACACCATTTATCGGTGTGTGCAAGACAGGAAGGGCCTGGATATCTTCCTCCTAATGCAAACCCACCATTCACATCGAACCGTTGGGCAAGAAATGAAAACATTTCGAGTAACCCACCCAATCGACCCATTTCCAAGACCAACTGCAGTAGCAAATAGAAACGTTAACATCGGTAATGATGCAAGACGTAACCGGTCAAACCCAAATCAACCGCTTAGCTCTAACCAGAACATCGAAAATGGTTGCACTAGCGCTAATTCCAATAGACAACTCGAACAGCTAGTACTAATGACAGCTGAAGGAAACGTCTGGAATCATCGAGAGAATGCCTTTGAGAAAGTACTGTTCTTCTTTGATACAGGCGCGCAAAAGACTATAATCGAAGAGGCACTGGCCGATCGACTAGGTCTACCTAGAATCACCACCGAAACCTGCGTAATGTCAGGCATAGGCGGACATACTGAAAAATTTGAGAGTCATTTAGTTTCTCTCAAAGTGTGCAGCGCACATGGGCAAGAAATAGAAATGTCTATTAAGACAAAACCTATTCTAACCTGCGGGTTCCCGTCAGTAAAACTCACTAAAATCGACCTAGAGTTCTTACAAACTCGCGAAATATTCATTGCCAACTCTAAAATAAGAGGTGAACGTCAAGTACCGCATATTTTGGTGGGCTCGACCGCTATTATGATCTTGTTATTTCGAATTCATCCGATACTCGAACTCCCTCCGGTCTCCACGTTGCAAAAACAGTCTTCGGACCGACATTGTATGGACGTGGGGCCATAGAGTCGACCGATATCATGAAAGTTTCACATGCTATGACTTCTATATTCGAAACATCAGATAATGACGGTGAAAACATTCAAAGAATGTTCGAATTAGAAGGCCTGGGCATTGAAGCAGTCGAAAACAAGAAAGAGGAGAACACTCTCTTGTACTTCCAAGAGTACTCCAAGAAAATAACCTTTGCGAATGGTTGCATAACGGCGCCCTTTCCCCTCAAGGATAATATAGTTGACCTAAACGACAACTATGCGATCGCGATCAGAAGGTTAGCCGCGTTGCAAAAACACCTCTTGGCAAACAATAGCCAGCAGAAGTGGTACCACCAGATACTCAACGAGTACGAAGACCACGGGGTTATTGAAAGAGTGCAAGATACCGAAGCAAATAGCGTAGGTACTTATTATATGCCTCATTCAGGGGTCTGGCGAGAAGCCAAGAAAACACCTTTAAGGGTAGTCTTCGAAGCTTCCTCAAAAAAGAAAGGCGAATTTTCTCTACTGAATGATACCATTCATAAGGGCGAATCGTTTCGTTTAACAAAAAATCCATAGCATTCTAATCGCGAAAGCAGATCGAGTAAGTTCGTTCTTCTCTGCGATATTGAAGCGGCGTTCACTCAGATCCGCATTCCTAGCCATCACAAAGACTTATGTCGATTCTTGTGGACTAAGAATATGGACTTGCCCCTCACAAAAAGGAATATAGTTGAATACCGATTCACTAGATTACCGGTTTGGGGTAACCGCCTCTCCGATGTCATTATCTAAAACACTGTTATATTTGGAATCGCTCAAAACAGACCTCGCTACCGAAATCGCGAAAAACATCTATGTTGACAACATATTGTTAGTCGCAGATTCAGAAGAGGAGGTGCTGCAGAAATACAGAGATTCAAAGGAACTCTTTTCTAAAATTGGAATGAATCTGCGAGAGTATATCTCGAACTCAGCACTCGTCAATTCCAAAATACCAGCAGAAGATCGCTTAGTCAGCAATCATATAAAGCACATCGGTGTGGAGTATGATACCGTAACCGACCGCTTCATCGTATGGCACGTTCAGATGAGACGACCTCACAAAACGTGATATAGTCAGGCCAACTCAATTCTATTTACGACCCATTGGGAATCATGAGCCCGCTCCTCGTAGGATTAAAGTCCACAATGAGGGAAATTTTATGTTCTAATTTTGATTGGAACGGCCGGCTTCTCCACGAAACATCCAAAAAATGGATCAGGCAAGTGTAGGGAAATCGATAATACCGTGATTACCATTCCGCGCGTCATAATGCCAGCCTTGGATAGTGATGGTGGAACCACCGCTCACCTCTGGGTATTTGCAGACGCAGCAAAGATAGCCATAGCAGCATGTGCATACATGCAATCAGCGCAAAATAACGCGGTATCCCAGATCATTTGTGGGAAATCTCGTCTAAGCCCGAAAAAGAACGAGCAAACAATACCTTGTTTGGAACTTCTCGGAATCTTGATCGCTCTCAGACTAGCACGAAGTGCGCTTAGTCGTGTGTCGTAAAGCATCAAATCTGAGGTGTTAGAGAGATGAGATGTTAATCTTCATAGTGACTGGAGCGGATGCTTGCGTCTGTGCCTGGGTAAATCATCTTCCTCAAGGTCTAGCGATTTTTTGTCTCCAACCAATGTGTACGAATTCACAAACTCAGATCTCAAATAGAATCTGAGAATGTGACCGTTCAATTTTTCCACGTTCCCACCTCCTACAACCCAGCCGATGCTGGCACGAGAGGGCTATCTAAGGAACAAATCATCAACACGCACGCCGCCGCCAGCGCCTAGGGTTACTAAGGTCCGCGTTGTTAGACACTACGCAATAACCGCTCTACGAGCATATCACGTGTTCAGGACAGCGGAGCCACGCGAATCTGACCCAACGCCGGTAATTATCGCACTACCGCAAACCAAAGCCGTTAGTTTCACTGCACCTGTCTTTTGAGCTTTCGCGTTTTTCCAAAATATCAACTGCTCTTGCGCACTGTCGCGAGAGTTGGCAAATTCCTTTGCTACCTCGTATCGCGAGCGAACAAGAAAAGAAGCACGCCCATACAATTGGGAAATAAATTAAGCTTCTCATTAGACGTTGAGATCAATGCAAAAGACCTTGCTATGGCCGAAATACTCGTCCATGCAGATGTCCACAAAAACATTGATGTAAATGAACTTAGTAAGAACTTTCGAAATATGCTAGTAATGCGTGATAAAGACGGCATCATTAGACATATTTTCACGCTTGCAAAATGCATGCATCCCTACCGATGCTAAATCACCCATATTTCTGCCAAGCAGAGGTGATATTACGAGACTAGTTCTCACCAATATCCACCACAAACACTTCCACTGTGGAAAAGACCAAACGTTATCTCTTGTAAGGCAGAGATACTGGTTACCCCGGGCATCTGGCTCATTTAAGACCTACTTGCGAGACTGCGCGGTCTGTAAAAGATGGCAGGGACTGCCATTCGGCTCCCCAAATATGCCACCTCTACCTACAGATAGAGTGGTGATTACAAAACCATTCCGCAATATTGGTTGTGACTTTATTGGTCCATTTTTCACGAAATCGGACGAAAACATGTACATTTGCTTGTACACCTGTTTAACAACTAGGGCAGTCCATCTAGAAGTAGTGGAGAATATGTCAGCTGGAGCCTTCCTAAACAGCTTCATTCGTTTTGTGTCAAGAAGAGGCGTCCCTCATATAGTTCGATCAGATTGTGGTGCTAATTTTCGACTTGGCTCAAAAATCATAATCGAACTTTCACAACCTGCTGACTCAACAGGATGCTCAGTAATGAGCTACTGTGCTGATAATGGCATAGAATGGATATTCAATCCTCCCGCCAGTCCATGGGATGGGGGGTGTTTGGGAACGACTGGTCGGTTCCGTTAAACGGTGCATGCGCAAATCAATTGGAAGGAAGAAGTTGAGCTTCATCCAAATGAGCACGGTCGTTGCCTCGATTGAAGCAACAATCAATACGCGCCCACTTACGAAGATAAATTCAACAGATTTATCAGAAATCCCCCTTAGACCGGTCGATTTCCTTCAAGGAAACGTGAAGTTTTCACTCCAAGACTCTGGAATGATTGATGACTCAACCGGACCCATTTGTATGCAGCCGGGTCTATGCATTCAGCAGGCCGAGAAAACAGCCTTGGAAGCACTCAATTTTGTTTGTCCGGGGAAGCAGGATCGTAATAAAGTGTCTTGGGAAAATGGCGCTCGTGAATATCTAGACCGTCCTTTGAGAAGAATTCAAAAGAAATTCATGAAACAAAAGCGCACAACTATAGCGAGAGAGATTTTTGGGTGGTCCGGAAAAAAGGTGAAATAGTCCTCATAGAACAGGATTTGCTCCCACGGAGCGCCTGGTCATATGGAAAGGTAATCGATCTCAACCTTAGCAATGATGGCCTTGTGAGGTCAGCGAAAGTGCTAACACCAAACGGCAACGTTTTACAAAGACCTCTAAATAAATTATATCCACTGGAAATACGTGCAGTCGACAAGGACGCGACAGAAGCACCAAAAGAATGTACTCCGCGCGAACTAGGGCAATTACGCACTGTTCTACCCGAGAGCTTCAAAAGCTAGAGCGTACGAGGTTATAAATGAATTTGAAGATAGCTTACAAGAGCCAAATTCTTCACAATTTACATTAAGGGTCGAGCCGATTCAAGAGTCGCTCAATAACCAAACGTCACGCTCGCGGCAACAGAAAAGTACGTTCCCGTCACTAACAAGTGGTAATCTGAAAATGGGACTTACAATCCTAGCAATTCTAGCTTTAGCAGTGCCATCCTATGCAAATTATCCAAGTTGCCATAATGGTATAGTGGAAATTGCTGGGAAAACGCACCCATACGAGCTATGCTTCAACGAAGATTGTCGCAAGTTTGTAGGCGATGGCATAGCTATGACTTATGAGCTGCCTATCTCGCCGCTTCATAATGCAACCAACGTTACCGTCAACTACATCAACAATGAAGGGCCAATGGTCTTTACAACTATTTGCGCAAACCCTGAGTTTTGCTCAAAATCAAATTCACTATTCAGTCCATCATTATTAGGCAATCCCCACTGCTGGCCGGTGGGTGCTATTGTAAGTGTAGCATTGATTGCGTATTTCATGATGGTAATCATGATAATACCAATCTGGTTTATCGTATCTCTGTTTAGGTCCAGGGATAGCCAGCCTTCAACTAACATTCAAATCAATTGTAACAATACCACTCATGCTGAAAATATTAATCTTCATTCCTGGAACCCAGCGCCTCTGAGCGGTGGTCTGCTTATCACATTGTGCATAACTTTAGCGGCCATTTGTAAAGGTGCAGCAGCCTGCCAACATGGCTTTACAAGGCATGCGACTGATATCATCTGTAACCAGGATGGAATTTGCAGCTACGAGTTCAGCAGGGAGTTTCTATTCAATAGAATACAAACTGTGCACTGTATAGAGATCCGTTCACAAAATAAAACAGTTGGTTTTCTGAAAATGAGAAACACTGCAGTAATCCTGACATGTTCGA